GTAGAGAGAGGGTGGGGTAGAAAGGGGTAATTTATTACAAGGATCTACATATAACCCCCTCCCTGGGGGACAGACAACGGAAAAATGGGTGAAGGGAGACGTTAGACAGTGTGAGTCATGAAAAAATAATTATAAATTATTAAGGGTTAATGAGGGCGGGGTTGCGGGGAGGGAGGGGATAAATGAGCTGATAGAAAGCAAATGTTTTGAGAATGATGCTGGCAACAAATGTTACAAATGTGCTTGACACGATGGATGGATGGATTGTGATAAGAGTTGTATGATCCCCCAATAAAATGATTTAAGAAAAAGAAAAGGGCTTTATATACAAGGGCAATTGAATATTGAGAAAACATCCCAGCCCAGTCCAGATCAAGTCCATAAGTCCTATATTAGCCCATATGTCCAATACCAACATATACATTTCTCTTCAGACTCGTGAAACACAGTCAATGACGCTGAATGCAGGAATATCACAGGCCAGTGGGTGGAAAGTCTTGTGGATACAGTGGCAGTAGAGGCATCTCAGTGTGAGCAGGAGTCTCTACATGGCTCCTTCAGCTCCAGGGCTTTAGAGTAGCTCCATGTGTCTTCTCAACAGGAGTGCCTCACAGGGAATCAGCCTGTGCCCCACCTCCAGCGAGCTATTTATCTCTTTAGCGCCTCCAAATGAGGTCATCAAGCTGTGACCTGAATGACAGATTAACCCCCCCCACACAGGTTAAACCCCACCCCTTCACTCTTAAGTCTCAAATTGACAATAGATTATGTAACTACCACAGTTCCTCACACTTGAGTATTAAGTGACTGAGAGAAGCTTTTCATTGTATGCCCTTTTATGGCTGCTATTTTGCTTCATTGTCCTTTTTGTTTTTTAAGCAAGCTTCATAATGCCTGTTGCTATTCTTTCTTATTCATTAGCTATTCATCCAAAGGTTAGGGGGTTTAAAATCCAATCAAGCAAATAAATAAATAAATAAAAATAAGATCCAACTAATCATCATTTATTAGTTTCCTATTTCTGTTGTTGCTGCCTCCATCTCCCAGCCATCTCATGTAAAAAGGATGTCTCCAATCCACCACCACCCCTTTTTTTTTTCCTTCCTCATTAGTTAAGCAGTTATTCACCACCCCCTGGGCATTATTCAACTGTTTTTCCTTTCCATGTTCTCTACTGGATTTATAGTTTAAATTCATTGTGGCTTCAAATCTTAATCTATATTAAAACCACCTAACATTGACTTTCACATGCTAACTCTTCCTGCTGAGATGACTCTCCCCTCCCCTGCTCTCAATCATGACCCGCCTACTGCCACCCACTGGATTATGACTCTGAGACTGTAAATCTCCATGGGAGCATACAGCCACATAGTTCCTTGGAGTGGCTTGTGGATTTGAACCTCCAACTTTGTGGTTCACAGCCCAGCGCCTAACCTATAGTGCCAACATGACTCTGAAATACAGTGCAAACACTTAGCCTGTCATACTCACTTTTACTCCTTGAATATCCTGATCTGTTGTAATCAGTTCACAGTTTCTTCAGTATGGCCTTCACTTTAATTTCCTTGAATTTATTTAACATACTTCTATGATAGTTTTTATGCATTGAGATGCGATCTGCATGGTTGGCAGTTCGAAACCACCAGCAGCTCTGCAGGAGAAAGACTGGGCTTTCTACTCCCATAAACAATTACAGCCTCGGAAACCCACAGGGGGCATTGCATTGAGTCAGCATTGACTCAAAGGCAGTGAGTTTGATTTGGATGGACAACTAGGGTGCTCCTTAGAAGAGAGGATAGTAGACTTCATCTCACGTACTTTGGACTTGTCATTAGGAAAAACCAGTCCCTGGAAAAGGATATTTACTTGGTAAAGTGGAAGGTCAGCAAAGAAGAGGAACCAACAAGGAGATAGCTGTATTAACACACAGTAGCTACAACATTGGGTTCCAATAAAGAGCAATTATGAGGATAGCATAGGACCAGACAGCATCTTGTTCTGTTGTACATAAGATCACTGGGGGGTGGAGCCTACTTGACAGCCCCTAACAACAACAGCAACATGGGCATCTACCACATGTCACATGCTGTTCCAGGGCACAGCAAGGGAAAAGCAAGACAAGGTCCCACCCTTTATGGAGGCGTCATTCATCTTGGCTACCTTCTCTTCAGTGGTTAAAATTCTATCCTTAAGATCCAGGTCAAATCCCACTTCTCTGAAACTTAACATGAGTCCACTGGGCTAAAGTTTACACTCTTTCCTCTGAGCTCCCGTAGCTTTCTATATGTTTTAATTTTTTAAGTCATACTTACATAACATTCTGCTTTACATTTTAAACATTTATCTTATTTTTCTTAAAGATTTATGAACAACTTGAAGGGAGATATTATCTTTGTATCTTTATATCCCCCATAATGCCAAGCACCGCACTTTAGTCATGTAAAAGTGTAACACACACACATATATGAAGAGGAAAATAAACCAGAGGTCCGGAATTATCCTAGGGATCTGTTATAAGCATTTACCTGTTTTCAGTGTTCTTTTTCTGAGTACAGATGTATAATTTTATAATTTATAAGCATTTTAATGAAATGTGCAAAGACCTGGGGTTAGGAAACCAAAAAGAAATAATACATTTGGTGTTTGTCAAACTAAAAGAACTGAAGAAAGAATTCAAGTCTTGAACTGGAATACTGAAAGATTCTATGGACAAAATATTGAATAACATAGGAACATCATGACCCCAAGTCTACCTGACTTATCCAGCTAGACCAGAGCATGTACACTGGTACAGATAAGAGCTCACAACACAGAGAATCCAGGACAGACAGATAAACTCCTCAGGACCAATAATGAGAGTAGTGATACCAGGAGGGGAAAGGGAAGGTATGGGGAGAAAGGGGAACTGATCAACATATAACACCCCCTCTCAGGGAGACAAACAACAGAAAGTGGGTGCAGGGAGACAGTGGATGATGTAAGATATGAAAAGAATAATTTATGAATTATCAAGGGTTCATGAGGAAGGATGGAAGAGGGAGGGGGGAAAATGGGCTGATAACCAAGAACTCAAATGGAAAGAAAATGTTTCGAAAATGATGATGGCAACATATGTACAAATATGCTTGACATGATGTATGGATTGTGATAAGAACTGTGAGAGCCCCCAGTAAAATGATTTGTAAAAAAAGAAGATGGAAAGAATGCACAGTTGACTTCCAACCACTGGGGGAAATTGCATGTGATCAACAATCAATGGTATTCAGGGGAGAAGTCCAAGTTACCCTGAAGGCACTGGTGGAAAACAAACTTCCAGGAATTGATAGTATGCCAGTTAAGATGCCAAGAAATTAGGAAGACCAGCTGACTGGAGTAGATCCATATTTGACCGTTCCAAAGAAAGATGACACAACAGAATGTGGAAACCATCAAAGAATATCATTAATATTACATGCGAAAAAGGTTTTGGTGAAGATCATTGCAGCTGGACATCAATAGGAACATGTAAGGGATTTGAGCCAGATACAAGAAAATATGTGGAACAAAGGATGGAATTGTCAATGTCGCATGGATTTTGGCTAAAAGCAAAAATTACCAGAAATATGTTTACCTGAGTTTTATGGACTGTGGAAAGACATTTGATTGGATGAATCATAACAAATTGTGGATAACATTGCAAAGAACGGTGATTCCAGAACACGTAGTTGTGTTCGTGAGAAGCCTGTACATACACATAGAGGCAGTTGTTTACATAGAAGAAAGGCTACTGCACACTTTGAGATCAGGAAAGGGATATGTCAGAAATGTATTATTTAGCTGTACTTATTCATCTGCATTCTGAGTAAACCATCTGAGAACTGGACTATTAAGAAGAGCAGATATTAGGATTGGAGAGAGACTCACAACTTGTTATGCAGAAGACACAAATTTTCTTGGTGAAAATGAAGAGGATCCGAAGCACTTATTGATGATTATCAGAGACTATAACATTCAGGATTACGCCTCAACATAAAAAATAATAATAATTAAGTAATTAATCTTCACATTTTGATCAAGAAGCAGCATCAATAAATGGAGAAAACATTAAAGTTGTTGATTGCCCACAATCAGCAGGCATAGATGGAGCATCAGGAATTCAGACAATGTCCTGCATAGTAAGTTGGCTGCAGAAGAGCGCTTTGAAATGGTAGCACGCAAAGAAGGCACCTTGAACACTGGCACGGCTTTCTCCCCGGAGTACGTGTGAACTTCCAACCTTTTGGTTAGCAGCAGAGCACTTTAACCACTGTGGGACTAGGTGTCTCAACTCTAACACAGAAAGGCTTTATAAACTTTTTAATTCCGCCCTTTCCCAGAAGAGTATAGCAGTAATAGACTGGGTTTACTACTTTCACCTCTCAGTGTGTTATAGAAATAATTTGGGTCTCTAAACAAACATGGATTAAGCATTGGATTGCTAACATCTCTGCACTTCAGATCCCCACCCGCTCTGTCTGGCAAGATGAAGCTGGCTGCTCCAGTAAGGAATTGGTCTCACAGTCCTACTCTGCCTTACAGGGACGCATGAATCAGAGTTGGCTCAGTGGCAGTGGGTTTTAAACACACTTGTGGAATATACTTTCATTAGCTACTGCCATCAAATTGCTTCCAACTCATAGCGACCCTATGCGAGGTTTCTGAGGCTGTAATTCTTGGGAGAGCAGGCAACCTCGTCCCTCTCCCTTGGAGAGGCTGGTGAGTTTGGACTGCTGGCCTTGCTGTTGGTTAGCAGTTAACCGACTGGACAGACAGCACCACTAGGTCTCCTTGAAATCAGGTAGGTACTCTCCCCATTTTAAATATGGTGAAACTAAGGAATGGGAAACTTGCATCATTTACATGAGGTCAACTAGTTAATAAATGAAAAAAAATCTGGGCCTGATTAACCTTGTAGGCATGATAATTGTGAATTTTTCATTACTTAATGATACTTATGAATTTTCTCCTCTTAGTGAAAGAAATGATGTCTTAAGAGAAGCTGAAATCTTACACAAAGCTAGATTTAGTTACATTCTTCCAATTCTGGGAATATGCAATGAGCCTGAATTTTTGGGAATTGTTACTGAATACATGCCAAATGGATCATTAAATGAGCTTCTACATAGGGTAAGTAGCCTACCCTTTCAGTGACTATGAATACCATTTGTTTTTTCAGCTAGATGATAATTTTGTTTTACTTTGGGTAATATTATGTGGGATACAGATAGATAAATCAAGATGAAAATAATTGAAAAGAATCGCAGTGATAAAGTTTCACCTTTTGACATTGTGTGTATGTGTGTTACTAAAATTACTGTGGAGTCAGGCCCTGTATTCTCAGACATAGGTTACTGTCCTTGGGGTTTACACTGAATTCCGAAGTAGGAGAGAAAAAAAGATAAACTCTACACACGACACAATCCACTATTTGATAAACTAGACTGTATGACATGTTAAAGGCAATATGAGATAAATGTTAGATAGATCAGTCCATAAAATTCTGAAATAACAGAAAAAATGCCTCTGTCTTGAGTACCAGAAACATTCATTTTCCTAATACCCAGTGACATGCCTCACTTACACATTTTCTCAAGGTCCCAGTTACTGCGCTTTGATGGTGCATATATCAGTGAACCCATTTGGGGCCCTCATTCACAAAATGAATGTGTTTCTTTTGTTGTTGTTGTTGTTGTTTGAACTTACATTATTAATATCACCAATCTGTGGTTTCCCTCAAGAAAAAAAAGTAGGCATTTGCAACATTTTGTAAGAGTTGATTTAGTTAAAACCAGTAATATATTATTGCAAGATTGGATAATGTTACTGGGAGTCTAAATTACAATAAATCAGCGTACTCTGCAAGTGAGTGAGGTCAGAGTGGGTGTCCGGTCAGTCACACGTAGTGCAACTTCCTCTTTGCTTTAAGACACTTCCCATTGTGTTTGTGACACATAACCATCTAAAACAAGGATAGAGTAGGTAACTAGTGCCAGGCTATACAGTAAATATTAACAAGGCACATTTTCTGTTTTGAAAAATGAATACATGTAGGAATTCTGTTTTCTCACACCCCAGAGATACTTTAGCACCACAATATGGAACCCACTGGGAATTCTAGACAAGAATCTCTGATGGCACTGTGCGCTGAGCATTGGGCTGCCAACTGCAAGGTTGGCAGTTCAAACCCAACAGCCATCCCACTGGAGAAAGAAAATTGAGGCTGGCTGCTGTTGTAAAGATGTACTGTCTTGGAAATCCTAAGGAGCAACTCTACTTTATCTTAGAGAGGGTCATAGGGTCACTGTGAGTTGGAACAGACTTGATGGCAGTTGGGGTTTTTTGTGTTTGTTTTGGAAATTCTAGCACCTCCTCAAGGGGTCTTGGTAAATCCTACACAGAATCATAAAATGCAGTATGAAAAGCTTCCATCTAATGCCTTAACTGCAGAGACCTGGTAACTAAACTGCATAACCATCCAAAAAAGTTAACATTTTTTAAGATTATAGACCTGGTAACTAAACTGTATAACCATCCAAAAAAGTTAACATTTTTTAAGATTATTCACTTGCTCAAGAGGAAGGAGCTCTGGTACCCTGGGGGAAGTAATGTTCAACATGAGTATTTTCTTTTCTCTTTGCTTTACTGTAATTGTATTACTGAGAATAGGACTTATCATGAATCACTACTGCCCACCTCAGCACCATAAATGAAAAATATAAAACTAAGTATAAATTATATAATATTTTGTACCAGTCCCTGCTAGGAACTAGAAACTGATCTCTTTGCAGAAAAACTTTCCAAGAACAGTCTTTGTTTTTGTTTTTTATTAATTGTGATTTAATACATATATCATTCCATATTTCAATCACTATCAAGTAAAATTGTACAATTATTATTACAATCTGTTTCTGAACAGTCTTTTTCCACATGGATTCCTTGACTTTGTCTCCCACCACTGTACCCCGTGACCCCCAGTCAAGAACAGTCTTGAGCGTTCTATAGAATCATACTTTTTTCATAGCCTTTAGAAAAACTTACCCAGTGGCATGATGCCTGAAAATTCATTGTTTGATTTTTCTTCATAAATTTATTCTCCTGGGAAACAGTATTGCATTGTTTATATTTGGGACATTTATTTTAAGAAAGTGAAAATGGATGTCACTTAGAAGTACCAGGAATTAGAAAACATGCTAAGACAGATGTTCTTTTTCTTCCTCAAAGCCTAATTTTTCAAGATGGAATATAGGTACATTCCATTGTCAAACATATGGGATGATAATGCTTAATTAATAACTCAAAAATGGCCATAATTTCAATTGATAAAATGATGAGTATAACAAAAAATAACAGCTTATATTAATGGCAACTTTCAAATATGTATTTAGAATAAATGGGATTCTATACTAGATACATTATATATGTGTGCGTGTTTGCTTATAAATTATATAGCGCTAGCACAGCAGTTCTCAACATGTGGGTCGCGACCCCTTTGGGGATCGAACAACTCTTTCACAGGGGTCACCCAATTCATAACAGTATCAAAATCACAGTGATTAAGTAGCAACAAAAATAATTTTTGGTTGGGGGGTCACCACAACATGAGGAACTGTATTAAAGGATCGCAGCATTAGGAAGGTTGAGAACCACTGCTCTAGCACAAGGAAGATATGTGTGAGAATAGATACACAGATGCAAAATCATTGAAAGCTGTCGGTTGAAAGTTAAAATTTAACATCATTGTTTTCCATATTAGCCCATTTTTAGTTTGTTTTAATTTTTATTTTATGCTTTCTCTGGGATAAAAAAAAAGTTAACCAATGTCACTGAACAAGATGTATAGAAATTGTTAAATGATAACCTAATCTGTGTAAACTGTCACTGAAAACACAATAAAGTTTTGAGTTTGTTTTTGTTTTGTTTTCAAAAAAGAAATAGACTCAATACCATGCACCTACATTATTAATATAATCTAAAAGAAGCATCTACTGTGAGGTTACAATTATTTTTGCTAAAAAATGAGAAAGGATCAAAGGATATTGAAATAATGTCAACTTTGTGGTAAAACTGAGTATATGTTTTTACATTGGTCTGTATTATTTTTCTTTGTGGAGAGTTTCGTTTTCTAAGAGTGAAATGCAGTAAAGTGTGGCCATTGATGTGTGACTCTGTTTTCTGTTCATACACATAAAGACAACTGAGTATCCTGATGTTGCCTGGCCACTGCGATTCCGCATCCTGCATGAAATTGCACTGGGAGTGAATTACCTGCACAACATGGACCCTCCTCTACTACATCATGACCTGAAAACTCAAAATATCTTATTAGATAATGAATTTCATGTTAAGGTAATTCCTTTTTTCAGAAAAGAAAAAAAGGGTATCTCTGTTCTTGGGCTTAATAGTTTTAAAAAGACGTTTTGCTTATCTCCTCCATCTAACTGCTTTAACCTCTCCTTTTCTCCTAATTCCTATCTTCAGTGGCTCGGTTATTAAGACCGCGGTGGGGAAATGATGAAGCACTCTGCGAGTCGCTGTGAACACATCCAGTGGTTCCATAGAGAAAGAGACTGACACTCTGGTCTCATAGTGCTGCAGCCTGGGAAACCCTCCGCGGTGTTTTCCAGTGCCATGTGGGGCCACTGTAAGTCAGAAGCAACAAACGATAGAGACAGAGAAACTTGATACCACATGCAAAGTCATTATGTTTCTAAATCATTATAGTCAGGAATACCTTTTTTTTTTTTTTCAACTTCTGAATTTGAATTACATCCATACCTCACTCATTAACTTGGCTGGACTCCAATGACCAGATCATTATGGGGAAATCAGCATTATAAGAAGGTGAAGACAACCAAATCAGATCACAAGATGGAAGACAACTCCATAATCAATAACTGCCACATTGCATCTTTAAATAACTGCCAAGGCACTGAGAATCATGGCTGAGCCAAGTTGGCACATAAAGAGCACAGTCAGCATTACAAGCTCACCTTGCAACCTTGGCATCTCCTTCAGTATTCCATTCAGACACATAACATTAATATACAAGGTAGTCAGGTAGAAGATTGTTTTCACTGTTGTCATAAATGCAAAATGTCAGTCAACAAGATAGTTGGTAAGTGAGGAGTTAGGTACAGTATAGATTGACAAGAAGTTGCAAAGATAACATAAAAAGGTGCTGTGTCCTTCACCCACTTTCCCCCACTGCCATCAAGTCAATTTTGATACATAGTGATCCTGTATAGGGTCTCCAAGACTGTAAATATTTATAGAGCAGACAGCCTCATCTCTCTCTTGTAGAGCGGATGGTAAGTTTGAACCACCAACCTTGCAGTTAATAACCCAACTCTTAGGCCACAGTGCCACTGGGAGTCCTCTCCACAGTCCCCTAGTGGTTACATATTATAAAATTATAATACAGTGGCAAAACTGAGAATTTTATGTTGTTCAATGGGTGCGTGTTGTTCTTTGTTACTTCATCAGAAAATACGGTACTGTGTGTCACTGTAAAGATCTCCCATTGTGCTGCCCCATTATTGTCGCAGCTACTCCCGCCCTCATGTCATCACCAACCCCTGGGAACCTCTGACCAGTTTTCCCTATCTATAGTTTGTGACTTAGAGAATGTTATGTAAATAGAATAAAGGAGCATGTAATATTTTGAGATTGGTTTTGCTGGCTGCTGTGTCCTCGGCACATGCCATAAATAAACCAAAATCCAGACTACCCTTCGAGTTCATTCCTACGCACCGTGACCCTGTGTAGGGTTTCTCAGGCATAAATCTTTATAGGAGCAGACAGCCTCGTTTTTCTCCCTCAGAACACTGGTGATAGTCGACCATTGACCTAGTGGTTAGCAGCCCAACACTTAACCAGCAGCTTCACCAGAGCTTGAATGACTTACAGAAAAATTCCTTATGTATATGCTAAATGAATTAAGGCCCGATTAGCCTGATAGCTTTATATTATCACTGTTGACCTCTTAACTATATGAAGAGACCCGAAACAGTTTGTAGCAAGGTGGCATTAAAAGATAATGCCATTTCTCTATGAACTGTTTGAAGCCCCCTCATATAGGATAAAAGTCTAAGTAATAGAAAGTATCTCTAAAGCTTCTCCATTCCCATTTGCTCCTTCAGTACTATTCTCGTCTTACATAGGTCACGCCGGAGCACTGATGGCACCGTAGTTAAATGCTCAGCTGCTCACTCTACAGTCGGTGGTTCAGACCCACCGCTGTTCTGCAGGAAAAAGATGTGGGCCTCTGTTTCCAGAAAGACTGACAGCCTGGAGACCCTCAGGGCAGTTCTACACGATCCTACAGGGTCTCTGAGTTGGAATCCATTCTAACTGATTGCCTCTCGTCTGATATCTAAATACAATAAATGCCTCTAAAACATTGCTTCTCATCTGATATCTAAATACAATAAATGTACACAGAAACTTTTTGAATTTTTTTAGAGGGGAAAATTTTTAATTATTTACTCTTTTTTCTTACAGATTGCAGATTTTGGCTTATCAAAATGGCGCATGATGTCCCTGTCACAGTCACGAAGTAGCAAATCATCCCCCGAAGGAGGCACGATTATCTACATGCCACCTGAAAACTACGAACCGGGACAAAAGTCAAGGGCTAGTGTCAAGCATGATATATATAGGTATAGGATCTTGCCTTCCTTATTAATTGTGAGAACTACAACCAGAAATCTTAAGCTATAAAATAGAGGTTTTCTTCTCTCTCAAGTGTGTGAAGAATTAATTTGGTGAGCCCGTGGTTAATATTTCTCTGATGAATGATGTGCTATTTGTCCTATCCATTTATAACATAATATTCAAGGGTTTTGTTTGATCATATGTGACTTTGGAAACAATGGTTCTTAACATTTTTAATTTCTCATCTTAAACTTATCAGTCCTGACTTGTACACATCTTTTCAGAGAAATAAGCAAGCTATTAAACATATAAGGGAGATATCTATTAAAGAGATTTAATTATAATGAATCCTTGTATTTGGTAAGATCGTATTTTCATGTTTCAGATGTAGTAAGCATACTGTGGGTCTTGATGCTGGGTATTTGGCCAAGGTAAAGGAAGATGATCACTTGTAATGCTCCAGGGAAGGAATTGGGCATTCACTTATCTTGTTTAATATGATAAAAAAAATAAGACGCCCTCAGCCCTTTGGTTGATTCTGACTCAAGTGACCCTATAGGATAGAGACTGACTGCTGCCTAGGGTTTCCAAGGCTATAAATCTACTCAAGCAGACTGCCTCGTCTGTCTCCCAGTGGATTAGATGGTGGGTTTGAACTGCCGACATTTGGTTAGCTAGCCCAACACCTAACCCATGACACCACAAAATCAGGCATGCTACATCTACTGTGGACATGTTTTCATAGCCCTTTAAAGCAGCATTTCACTATCTGTAATAAGCACTTAACCTGAGAGCAAACAAAGATGCTTTTAGAAATGATACATTCCTACCAGAAAATTAATGTGAATAAGTAACTAGTGTAACTAGCAGGAAAAGCCTGTGTATGTGTTGGGGATAACTTGTTTTGTTTTGTTTTTAATCATTTTATTGGGGCTGGGGAAAACTGTTAAAACCCAAGTTGTCTGTACATTTAACACCATGCTCTCATTAGTTACTCCCTAGCATCAATGTGAAACAAAGTGATGTAGGAGCATTGTTATGTTAGTTGTCTATAATGACTCTATGCAGTATTTTACTACCTTATCACTTTGAAAAATGATATCGCCATAGTCAGATTTTCAAATTAGTGCTTTTTCAGTTTATTATGCTAAGTTACTTTATAGTATACAGTCTGTATGTTTTTTATTTAAACAGCTATGCAGTTATCACATGGGAAGTCTTATCCAGAAAACAGCCTTTTGAGGGTAAGTGTACTTTGACTCCTTACTCTAGGTAACATCATGTTGGGTGGCCACACAGAAGTATATACATAAAACTTGATCTTATTTTAAATCTTCTTACCACCTATTTTGTAGGAAACACACCACGGAAGCATTAATTTATCAATCAGATTAATGAGCAGAAATTTTTTACTTTTAATTTGCGTTCTAACAGTAATTAGGTCTGTGATCAATTACTAAATCTCTTTGACTCTTCCGTTTTTCAGCTGTTAATTGAGAACGCAGAATTACAACTGTCAAAATCTATTCACTTGTAAAACCCGTTATCTTTTAATTCTGTAATGTTCTTGTTCTTGTTTTTATTTGCGATCTGTATAGTTCAGCTTGCTGTCAAATAACCCAGCAATTCTTATCAACTTAAAAGTAAACATTTATTTCTAACTCACATACACTTGTTGCTCTGCTTCTTGGCTCTGCGAGGTTCTGCTTGGTTTTGCATTCTCACATAGAGCAGAGTAAACCTCATGGCTAAGCCCCAAAGTAGTAATGTGTGCATGTGTATGCCTCCCATACCAAACCAAAACCAAACTTGACTGCCATTGAGTGAATTTTGAGTCATGGTGACCCTGTAGGACAGGGTAGAACTACCTTGGTGAGTTTCCAAGACAGTAACCTTTGACAGAAGTGGAGAGCATCCTCAAATCTGCAGAGAACTGGCAGGTGGTTTCAAACTGCTGACCTTGTGGTAAGCAGCCCAACATGTAACCACCGTGCCACCAGGGCCCCTCCCATAGGAGGTAGGCCAATCATATAGGAACAGATAGGCCATACAGTCCTATTATAAGAAGGCAAGTATTAAATATATTATCACTAAGAAAATTAAGATTCCTTCATTTTCATTGGATTGATAAGGAATGCATCTAACTTGCTGGATCATAATATATTTCTAATGAAAGAAATATTTCTATTTTTCAGAAGTCACCAACCCTTTACAGATAATGTATAGTGTGTCACAGGGACACCGTCCCGACACTGGTGAAGAAAGCTTACCACTTGATATACCTCACCGCGCACTGATGATCTCTCTGATAGAAAGTGGATGGGCACAGAATCCAGATGAACGACCATCTTTCTTAAGTGAGTGTACAGTTTTAATATGAACCTTTTCAAACAAGTAGCTAATATACCACGAATAAAATAGTCCTTTGAAAATTATACAAGTTCAATAACCTCGCTCCAAGTTGTTTTTCTTTCCACTTTTGTTACTCTTGTTATTCATTGTATTTATAAAGTTGTACTTTCTTCTCCACCTGAATTGAAACTTAGATGTGAATAGAGCTCACATGATAGGAAGAATAATTCCATTGATATTTTAGCACGTATTTATTAAGCACCTACCATATGCTCAGCACTGGGCTGAGCATTGGATAGAGTCTTAAACAAGACCATCTTGGCCAATTCCTTCCCGGAGCTCACATTGTAGTGGGAAAGCCTGGCAGAAAATAAATCCCAGAGTCAAGATCGGGAGTGCTGTCAGGATTTAAGCAAGGTGATTGAGTAGTTAGGGAGGTGTGGAAAGGCCATTCATAGAACCAAACAGTTGAGCTGGGACTGGAAGCTTGAAAAGGAGCCAACCATTCGCGAGCTAGAGAAAGCCTTCCAGGCAGAGGAAACAGGGCAGAGTCCCTAAGGCTGGAAAAAGGAGCGAGCTTGGTATTTTCCAGGAACCAAGAGAAGGCCTATGTGGCTAGAATGTGGGGAGCAAGGAAGGAAATGATTTGACATGAGTTTAATGAGATGAGGAAGAGCCTGTGGTGTTAGTTGTCTATTCCAAGTACAATGAAAGCCATTAAAGAGTGTTTTGCCGGAAGTAGCATGATCTAAGATTAGGGGAATTAGGTTTTGGAGAAATAGCATGATTTAGGTTTAAGAGAAATTACTCTTGGTGCCTTGTGAAATACTGATTAGGGGGGACAAGGATGGAAACAAAGATTCCAACTAGGGAACTCTTCCTGGAGTTTTCTAATTAAGATGGTGAGATAGAACAAGTAAAATTAAGACATGTCAGAACTAGAAAAACAGAATATGAAAGCATATGGACATAAAAGAAAGGGAGAAATTGGGAACAATCAAGTCTGACTAGCATGTTGATACCACTTACTGAAAAGAAGAAAACAGAAGAATATGTTGAAAAGGGTAGAATGAGGAGCTTCATTGTGTAAATAGTAAATGTGAGCTATCTGTTGAATGTACAAGCGGAGATTCCTGGTAAATAATTGCTTGCATTCCAGCACGGACTCAAGAGCACTGTATTCTGGGTCCAAATTTGGGCACAGTCACTATTTCTTCATCTAAAAATATTGCTGCTGGGTACCATCAAGTCCCTTCCAGCCCGATAGGCTAAAGCAGAATTGCCTGAGAGGGTTTCCTAGACTTCAGGCTTTAGGAGAACTGATTGTCACGTCTTTTTGCCTATGGAATCAGCTAGTAGGTTTGAACTGCCAACCTGTTGGTTAGCACCCAAGCACTCTAGGGTTCCCTCATCTATAAATAAATATCCTAATAGTATTTTATCATAATTACTGTTTCTACAGTAATTTATTAATTTATTAATTGGTTGTTCCGTGGGGAGGTTAGGGTTCCAGGTACAAAATTGATGTCTTGGATGGTGTGTAGAACCAGAACTGGATGAGGTTACCTAAAAGAGAATATAGATACAAGATACAAAGTCCTGATTACAGCCCCGAGAATTCCAGCAGAAGCTGGTAAAGCAAAAAGAGTCAGCAAAAGATGAATATTTACATATATGTCATTATGTGAACATAGGCTTTCCTTTCTTTTAGGGTTGGTTGTACAGTAAATTTATGTTTAACTTTAGTTTTAATTGCCAAACTATTTCCCAAAGTGGGTGAATCGTTTTATAGTCTCAATGTATACGGTCTTATAGATTTATTTTGTCTCATTAGCACTGTATCGGAATTTCACTTTCTCTGAATCATTATCAATACTTGTGATTAATTTTTTTTAATTATTGGTATATTAGTGAGTATGAAGTGGTTTTAATTTATATTTCCCTAACAACTAATGATGTGAAACATCCTTTAGTGTGATTACTAGCTATTTGTATATCTTCTTTGGTAAAATAGCTATTCAAATATTTTGCCAATTCCCTAATTGGGTTACTTGTTTTATTACTGAATCATCAGATTCTTTACATTATTCTATAGTCAGGCCCTGCACTTATACTTGATTTGTGAATGTATTCTCCCAGTCTATGGCCTGTCTTTTTTTTTTTTTCTTAATCTTGTCTTTTGAGGCATAAAATTTTTTAATTTTTATGAAATCCGGTGTATGTTTTTTCTTTTATTTTTCCTGCTTTTGATATTTGATAAATTTAAAAACTGTTTTCTTAACTCATGGTCATGAAAAGATTCTTCTGTGTTTACTTCTAAAAGCTACCGTTTTAACTTATACATTTAAGTCACAGTTTATTTTAAGTTTATTTTTATGTATGGTGTTAATGAAGGGTTCAAATTCATCCGTTTGTGGAAATCCAATTTTCCTACCACCATCTGTTGTGAAAACTATCTTTTATTCCATTGAATGGCCTTGGCACCTTTGTCTAAAACCTACTGGCCATAATTGTAAGAGTTTCTATTTGGACTCTCATTGATCTATGGATCCTTAAGCTAGGTTTAAAGGCTCTTAAGAGAGTTCACAGGGGAAGAATTGGCACAGCCTTATCATTTCAGTGTTAACATAATATATTTTTCAAGTTTAGTGATTATAAGCAGTCCAAGCTCAAAAATGTGTTTTCATTTCCTGTATTTAGAATGTTTAATAGAACTTGAACCAATTCTGAGAACATTTGATGAGATAACGTTTCTGGAAGCTGTTATCCAACTAAAGAAAACAAAGGTAAATGGGCAAGTGATGTGTTGGAACTAGAACTTCACACAGTGTATTACAGCAGCCTTCTTTGTCCAGTGCACTTTAGGAGAAACACTGGAGGGGTGACTTCAGCAGACAGAGTGTGTTCTTCTCTCTCTCCTCGTTAGGGGCCCAGAAATCAGGATTTAGAGTCCTGGCTCCCGGGGAAAGCTTACTGTCTGACAGCTCTGGAGCAAGGGCCTCTTCTCTGAATTCCACTTCTGGTGCCATCTTTTTGAGATCTCTTGTGGCGTGGCATCTGTCTTCCACTTTTGCCGCTTGCTTGCTCAATATTTTTATCTCTCAAAAGAGATTGACTTAACTTGTTAAACAAAACCTGATAACTGTATATACTCATGTATAAGCCAAGTTTTCCACATTTTTTATGCAGTGTGTGTGGTAAAATTAGGTGCCCCGGCTGATATTCAGGTCGGCTTGTACTCTAGTATATATGGTACTTGTAAGACTTTCAAACTATATTTTAAAAAGAGAAAAAGATTGACTTAGCACTTGAGAGACTTAGATACACCCTACACTATAATACTGACTTTTGGGGGGTGGGGGTGGGGAGAGGTCTCCCCCGAGTTGAGTGAACATTCCTGGAGGTACTGCAATACCAGGTCTATGCATGGAGTCGATGGAGCATGCTGCTATTCCACCTCCCTGCTCCAAAAATCCATGTAATATATTGCTCATAGATAGAGGAAGACTTTATCAGACATTAAACTGATAAGAACAGACACTACACTTGATCTTAGTCAAAAGGCCAAAAAACAATAATACTGATTTAATAATACTTATCTAAAATGGGGTTATAATCTCAGGCATAGGGTTTAAGATTACAGTCCATATTTGTGGAGGACACATTTTTCTTCATCTAGTTTTTGTTTGTTTTTTAATCGCTATACTTTTCATTGAGGTAGGCTACAGTTTTGGAAAAAGAATTTATCAGAGACAATGAATATTATTTTTGTCACACACACACACACAAAAAAAGTTTCTATTTTATTCTAATGGCCATCTTCTGATTTCAAAGACCCTTCTAGGACTCTCATAGAGAAAATTAAAGTGTAATATGAGTAGTGAGTATTGATTGTATACAGTAAGTAATGTAACTCTTCAGAGATTTTTTTGAAATCTGCATTGCTCTCTGTAAGGATTGATATTTACTATAGAGATACAGCTTCTTATACATTTATTTAGTCTACTTGGACTTTTCTGGGATGTATCGCCACAGTAAACTGTAGGATTTCTATGAACAGTGAAGCCATATATATTTTCAGTTGTTCATATGTAGATTCATTCTCTCCCTCAAAGGCATCATCTATTACATAGACGAAAGAAACAGCTGACACAAATTACATGGTAACATTGTCTCGTGTACTTGAGCTCGATCTTGTAGGTCTAGGGTCACTATGAGTTGGAATCAACAGGACAACAGTGGGATGGCATTAATAAAGGTTTTCCTATTATCGGGCATTTTTTAAATGTCTGATTTTTTTAAATCTACCACAGACAAAGTGAACATAATTTCTCACTTCCCGGGTATCATTAAAATGTGTTTGTTATATGATCATGAAAATCATCAGATTAGTCAAACTCTTAGGTTGTGAGCAAGCATGATGGCAGTCCAGTCAGTCCTGAATCATAGCAACCCCCCTGTCGAGTAGAGTAGAGCTGTCCTGTAGGTGTTGCACGGCTGTAACTCTTTAAGGAACCAGACTGTCATAACTTTCCTGCAGAAGGGAAGCTGGGTTCCAACCCACCATCAATAACACCTGTGACTAAAAGATATTGTATCAATGCCCCTTGCTGTTTACTGGATCTGTTTAATAACCTTTGATTAAAAAGGGAAGTACTTGAAGGAAACCACTATCACTGACCAAAGTAAAAATTAGTAGTGGCAATATTAATGCCGGAGGTTTAGAAGCAACTGAAAAAAAAGGACATATTTTAGTGCTTTTTGATAATTTTTCTCTTTACCCTTTTAACCAAAGACCGTTTCTATAATTTATTTTTAATAAATCATTTTATTGGGGACTCTTAAAGCTCTTATAGCAATTCATACATCAGTTATATCAAGCACATTTGTATATAAGCTGCTGTCATTTTCAAAACATTTTCTTTCTACTTGAACCCTTGGTATCAGCTCCTCTTTTTCCCCCTCCCTTCTCACCCTCCGTCCCTCATGAACCCTTGAAAATAAATTATTTTATTTTCATATTTTACACTGTCCGCTGTCTCTGTTTCTGTTGTTCATATCTTACTTCTGAATGGGTACGTTCTTCCATAAACTTCCAGTTTCTCCATTTCTGAATGGATACAAAGGTTTTACTTTTCTTTTTTCAGTTCCTTTTCTCCTCTTCTGCCATTATAAAGTTTTTTCCCCTAGTCTACAGTCTCCACCATTAAGTTAAAGTATCCTCAATTAATTTAGAAGCCCTTTCCATTGATGTATGTCAGCAGTTCTCAACCTGTGGATTGCAACCCCTTTGGGGGTCGAACGACCCTTTCACAGGGGTTGCCCAATGTATAACAGTAGCAAAATGACAGGGATGAACTAGCAACGAAAATAGTTTTATGGTTGGGGGGATCAGCACAACATGAGGAACTGTATTAAAGGTTCACAGCCAATCTTACCCAAAGTACTTTACAAGTTCAATGCTATTCTGATTCAAATACCAACAACCTTCTTCAAAGAATTGGAAAAACTGATCAACAGTTTCCTATGGAAAGGGAAGAAGCCCAGAATTAGCAGAGAATTCCTCAAGAAGGAGAAAGTTGGAGGACTCGCCTTACCCGATTTTAATGCCTATTACACAGCTACAGTGGCCAAAACAGCGTGGAACTGGCACAATGACAGATACTCAGACCAGTGAAAAAGAATAGAAAGTCCAGGAATAAAACCATCAGCATATAGACAACTGATCTTCGACAAGGGTCCCCAAACCATCAAGTGGGAAGCAGATGCCCTTATTAACAAGTGGTGCTGCAAACAATGGATATCCACATGTAGAAAAATGAAATAAGACGTTTACCTCACCCCATGCGCAAGAATAAACTCAAGGAGAATCACAGACCTAGAAGTTAAATCCCAAACCATCAGGACCATCAAGGAAGGAATAGGGACAAACCTAAGAGCATTGGCCCAGGAAATTCATAGGCTCACTGCAATAGGGAAGGCTACACACACAGGTGAACTGGAAATCGACAAAAGGGATTTAATAAGAATAAAACACCTGTGCACATCGAAAGACTTCACCAAGAGGGTGACAAGACAACCCACAGACTGGGAGGGGATTTTTAGTAATGGCACATTGGACAAAGGGCTCATTACTAAAATCTATAACGCCCTCATGGCCTGCAAAAAGAGGAAAAGTTAACCCCCTAAGGAAGTAGGAAAAATAACTGAAAACTTTCACTAGGGAGAAGACCCAAAGCCAACAAGCATATGAGAAAGTGTTCCTGGTCATTAGCCATAAGAGAAATGCAAATTAAAACAACCATGAGATACCACCTAACCCCTGAGGCTAGCCCAGATCAGGAAATCAGAGAACAACAAGTGTTGGAGGGGCTGTGGTGATAGGAACCCTCCTCCACTGCTGGTGGTCGTGTAGATTTGTATAACCACTGTGGAGAGCAATCTTGAGATACTTAAAGAAAATGGAAATTGATCTACGTTATGACCCAGCCATCCCTCTACTGGGCATATACCCAGAGGAGGTAACAAATAAAACACAGCCAGTCATCTGCACTCCAATGTTTATTGCGGTGCAATTCACAATTGCAAAGACTTGGAAACAGCCTAAGTTCATGAAACATTTCATGGGAAGCGTTGGAAGGAATCATGTTAAGCAAGGTAAGCCAATCTCAAAAGGACAGGTAAAACATGAGTCCCCTCAGGTAAGTACATTTAGCATGGCAGGGATATAAGAATAGACACTTATCTCGCAAGTACATGGGTAGAAGCATAGGTAGTCAGTGGGGAGGGAAGACCACACCCAGGGAAGTGCATATGAGTCCAACATAAAGAAGAAAGGGGGAAGGATGAGGGAGAATTGGGTTGGGGAGAAAGTGAGATGATGACATGGGGGAACAGGGCAGTAATCCACCCAGGGGGAGAGTATTGGTTGTGTCCCCACAGAATTGGAATGTGCATACAGACCCCACCATGACGTGTCAAACCAGGAAGGCAATGTAACACATGGAGGAATCCATAGAAAGACTGGACTATATGCCCAACCCCAACCAGAACCAGCCTGACCACCACCATGGAAGGATGTGCCACTGAGAATGACAATAGACCCTCTGGTGTGGGAAAGGAACCGACCTACCATTCCCAGACGGAAGTGGAAGCAAATAAAGGGGGAGGAAGGGAGCGGAGCACACCCTGGCCCACCACAAGCCCTAAGGACAACAGCCTCGCTCAGAGCAGCCAGTGCACAGAGAGGATCGTATGGCCGGCCCCACTACTAGACATGTGGAGACACGGTGTGGGATGTGTGACCAAGCTGACCCCACCACACCGAGGCAAAACACTAAGGGCGTGCAACCGAACAGCAAGGGGAGCAGAACAAGGAAGTCCCCAGGGAGCATCAAAAATATACTTTGGGGCCAGGGCGTGGCACCCCATCAGACTAGACCAGAAAACACTCCTAAAGGTCAACAAACAGACCTTGATCTATTTATAGGCTTTTCTTTCTTTTTTTTTCTTCTTTCAGATTTTGTATGCCATTGGCTTTTTTGTTGTTGCTACTGTCATCACTTTTTCTGTCACTTTGTTGGGCACTGTCGAGATTTTATTATCTCTGCAGGTCTATCTATATAAGATAGACTGGATAAACAATGTGGAGAAGAAAACAATGGGACCAATGATTCTGGGGGACATGGGAGAGTGGGAGGTGGGGGAAGGGAAGTGGTGTTAACCAACCCAGGGACAAGGGAACAATGAGTGATTCAAAACCAGTGGTAATGATGGGGTGGGAGGTCTGGTAGGGAGTGATCAAGGGCAATTTAACCGAGAAATTACTGAAACCGAAATGAAGGCTGACCATGATGGTGGGACAAGAGGAAAGAGAAAGGAAATAGAGGAAAGAAGTAGGAGCCAAAGGGCATGCATAGAGGCCTAAATACAGGCATGTACATATGTAAATATATTTATATATGATCGGAGAAAATAGATCTATGTGCATATATTTATAGATTTAGCAGTAAGGTAGCAGATGGGCATTGGGCCTCCACTCACGTACTCCCTCAATACAAGAACACTTTGCTCAACTAAATGGACATTCCATGATACCCACCTTCCCGACACTATCACTAAAGACAAACATGTGCATAAGCAAATGTGGTGAAGAAAGCTGATGGTACTGAGCTATCAAAAGATATATTGCCTAGGGTCTTAAAGACTTGAATGTAAACAAGCACCCATCTAGCTGAGAAGCGACAGAGCCCACAGGGAAGAAGTACACCAGCCTGTGTGATCACAAGGTGTTGAAGGGATCAGGTAGCAGACACCAAAGAACAAACATCATCATTGTATGCTCATCTTCCCCATACAAACGCTGAAGACAAATGTGTGCATAAGTAAATGTGAAGAAGACTGATGGTGTCCGGCTATCGAGAAATATTGCATCTGAGGTGTTTAGGCTTGAAGGTAAACACGCAGTCATCTAGCCCAGAAGCAACAAAGCCCATACAGAAGAAACATACCAGCCTGTGTGATCACAAGGGGTCGAAGGGACCAGGTGTCAAGCACCAAAGAACCAAAAATCATATCGTGAATGAGGGTGAGTGTGGGGTAGGGTCCCAATGCCTATCTGTAGGCAACTGGACATCCCTTTGCAGAGGGGTAGCGGGGAAGAGACGAGTAGCTCGGGGTGCAGTGTAGCATCGATGAAACACACAACATTCCTCTCATTCTTAAATGCTTCCTCGACCCCACTATCATGAACCCAATTCTACCTTACAAACCTGGTTA